GAATTCTCTTCTGTATACTCCGCCTACCTAATTTTCTATCCAATAAAATGGGCCAAGGCAGTTTCTTTATTAATAAGAAACTATTCCCACATCAAGTTACAGTGAAACTTTCTCAGATGCTCACAAAGCACGCAGGCTCTCCCTGTGGCAATCTCTGGCCAAACCTGTGAGACTGTGGTGTGACCCCTGGTAAAATCCCTCTCTCTCAACAGGGGAGAGGAAACCGTCCCTCACCTTGGGTTATGTCCTGATGAACAACCTGAAAAGCGACATGTCAAAGCCTATTCCTCTGGGAGGCTGAGTCATAGCCTCACGGGCAAGGCCTTCTTCACCGAGATCAGCTCATCCTGAGCACTCTGGATCTGTGAACCAGCCAGGTGGCAGGGAAAATCAGGAAAAACCTCAGATGTTTATTTTATGATAGGATCAGAATATTCTGATCTTGTAACCTCTTTCTAAAAATCTCTATGCTTTTATTTACATGGTCATTTTACAGTATGCTGCTGAAAGTCTGAGACACTGAACATTAAAACTGAGAGGGAACACTGAGAGCCAGTAGTTCCCGGTGCCTGTGGGGACTCATTCTCAGACCGCTAGTGGGTGTTTGGAATTGTAGACAGTACTGAACTTCATAGCTCTGAGGCTTCTGCCATTACATACCTACTTGTGATAAAGTTTAGTCTATAAACAGGCAGAGGAAGACAGTAACAGTAAATATGAGAACACTATACTGTAATAATGGTTTTGTGCATGTATATATCCTCTCTCAAAATATATTGCTGAGCCAGGCATGGTGATGTATGCCTTTAATCCCATCACTTGAGAAGCAGAGGCAGGGAGGTCTCCATGAGTTTAAGACCACACTGGTCTATATAAGGAGTTCCAGACCAGCCTAGGCTATGCAGTAAGACACTTTCTCATGAAAACAAAAACAAAACCCACAACATCTTATTGTGTTCTGCTAATGCTTTTTATATGAAATGAGATATCATGGTGTTTGCCTGCTTTAACAAGCTACGGAAGCATAAGGGGAGGCTGTCTTAATAACTGTTGAACTGGAATACTGTGACCAACAGGGATGCAGAGCTCTTAGGAGGTGACAGTGCTGCATCTAACACAACCTCATCAGTTCTCAGCCTGATGCTCGCACCTTTCATCTTACATTCGCCATTGACATTTCCTTCTTAGGCCGTCATCTACTTAACTACACAGAACTACAGCTTGATTAAACAATTGAGTCAAGTAGAGCATAAGTAGCTCTTGCAGAAGCTCATTTTAAAGTATTTCTGGACTATGTTCCTAGGCAAAAATAAAATCTTTACTTGTTTAAATAAAAAAAAAGGAATGCATGTAAATATCCTAAAAAAAAAAAAAAAAAAAAAAAAAAAAAAACACGGGGGTAGGGAAGGCGAAGCATTTTGCTGGGTAAGTCTGCTCCCGAAGTCAAGGCTGTGAACTGGACCGTCTCTACTTTTCATCCGTTCTCTTCTGTTGCTAGTGTCCTGCAGGCATCCTAAGCATGTGAAGGGTTTGCAGGAAACACAACAATCACTGTGTTTTATCAAGACACATAATAACAGTGGGAAAGGAAAGAAACCCCAGGTTTTAAGGCCAAATGAATCATTGCTCACTCATTTGAGCTGAGGAATTCAAGTGCATCTCTGAAACCTAACTGGCATGGTATATGAGACAAGGTAAAGAAATTATAGCCTTCTAAAAATTGTATAAACTTTATTATAAAAACTTACACATAAATAAAAACATTGTAGGCCATAATTAACCAGACCTAAAACCAATACAGCTCACTGAATTTCTACGTAACTAGAGTAGGCATTTGGAATGGAAGCTGTGGAGCCTCACATTAAATCTTACACTTTCACTATTGAGGATATTTTATGGACTTTTCCACCACCCAAAACAAAACAAAATCCATGGAATAATTAGAACCAGGAGAACAATTAGCTGTGTGACCTCTTCACTCATGCCATCACCTGCACTCAGCCCTTCTTGTTCTCTTCATGCTATGTCATACTCACATGCACACGTGTTTACATACATGTATACATATGTTAGTGGTTAGATTCTGCATCTGAGAGAGAATGTAGTTTTTCTGAGATTTCATGATTTCCTTTAATATTACACATTCTTATTTCATCCATTTTCCTACAAATTTTTAACTGCATTTTTCTTTTTTTTCTTTTGTTTTGTTTTTCTTGGTTTTTCAAGACAGGGTTTCTCTGTAGCTTTGGAGGCTGTCCTGGAACTACCTCTTGTAGACCAAGCTGGCCTTGAACTCACAGAAATTCAACTGCCTCTTGAGTCAACGTTGGTATTAAAGGCATGCGCCACCACTGCCCAACTTAACTTCATTTTTCTTTAGAACTGAGCAGCATTCTATTTCTATATCACCAACATTTAATTATCCACTCATCCACTGATGGACAACTGGGTTGATCTGATCGACAAACATGTGAGTGCAGGAATCTCTCCAGCGGGGGATGCGGTTCTCTGGATCTACTCTGCCCAGGTCCACACTGTAGTTCTAGCTTTAGATTTTCCAGAAACCTCTAAATTATGTTCCACATTTGGCATATTAATCTGCACATCCAACAACAGGAATAAGCATTTCTCTCCACATCTTCTCCAACATTTGGTGTCAGATTTGCTGACGATGGCTGTTCTGACTGGGGTAAGATGGAGGTTCAAAGCAGTTATCATGTATTTCCTTGAAGGTTACAGACCCTGAACTCTTTAAAGCAGCTATTGACCATTTTTATGTCTTTTTCATTCAGTTCACTGTTTCTATTTAGTTCACTTTCCTATTTGTTAATTGGCAATTTTATTCACTTGGTAATTAATTTCCACAATAATTTATAAATTCTGACTGTTAGCCCTTTGCCTGAAGTGTAGCCATCAAAGATTTCTCTCCCATTCAGTGGTCTGTCTGTTAACTCTGCTGTTTTCTTTGCTGGACAGAAACCTGTTTTCATCTGGCCCCATCTTTTGATACCAAGGGTTAGTTCCTGGGCTGCTGGTATTCTAGATTTCCTCTCGTGAGCATTTCAGCATGTATACCCAGCATATATGTACACATCTTTACACATATATAGTGGTGCAGACATGTTTCAGTGGAAAATCAGTGCTGTAGACTAGAACTTAAACCACACGGGGGTCCCTAGCAATCAGAGCGCATGAGGATGGTAGTGTACTTTTTTAACAAGTCCACTGTGCTTGATCTGCTCCTAGAACACATCAGTGCACACGTGTGGCTGCTCTTTGTTCCTTAACCAGCAGACTTAAATGGCCTAATCAGGGTCTAGTCCCTGTTTCTGTGCAGAATCTTACAAATGTGAGGCCCGTGCCCTGGGACACTTGCAAACATCTGCATTTTAAATCTTGTTAAACATCATGTTAAACTGGATAAATGAGCAACTGGTGATCACGTTCTCAGTATAAATCTAAAGTGTGAATTCTAAGGGCTAGATATCTGGCTCAGTGACTAAGAGCCTGGCTATTCTTTCAGAGGACCAAGCCTCAATTTCCAGCACCCACCAGGTGACTCACAACAGTCCATAACTCTAGTTCCAGGAAATCTGACTCCCTCTTCTAGCTACCTTGGGAACTAAGCATGCATGTGATACAGAAATATATATGTAGGCAAAACACTCATATGCATAAAAAATAAAACCTACATTTTAAAATGGCATTGTTTATTCCTGGGCTCCAGGTAGCCACGCCTTAATTAGGTTCCACTTCTTAAGGTGATTGGTTAGCAGAGCTTCCCCCATCAGGAAGCCTCCTTTCTTGGTCAGGGAGTCCAAGAGACTCCAAAACCACATGCACTATTACTATTGTCCTTGGCTGCCTCCTAGAACTGAAAGGCACCACACACCTCAGACAGAAGACTTAGAGGAATCAGCCTTGCAACAGACATGGATTCTTCCTCCATGAAGACTAACTCATGCAGTACCCAAAGGTGCTATGAAAAGCATCAAGGAAGAAAAAAACAATTAATAGTCCTACCTGCCTTCAAAGTCCAGGACCCACAACAATGATCTCACCAATCACCTAACCTCCAAGTATAATAGTGCTACTCATACCTTGGAAATAACCAACAGCTGTGTGTACTAAGAGTCCTTACTAGGGTGGAGTCATGTCTGGTACTAAAAATCGGGTTCCTAGGGTGGCTGAAGAGGTCACAGACCCAAGAAGAGAACCTCCTACTGCCATTTTCCTAAACCAACATAATTTCTAATTATATTCCAAACATTTATCTTTATACCCACAGAAAAGTGTGGCTCTTACCCTCCTCAAAGAAACTTCTTTTCCCAGCTGACAGAGGTACTCCTCTGTAGTACAAGTGATCAAAGTGCAGAGAATATGTAACTGCGGTTTCAGCCCAGTTGTTTCACCTACAATACAGCACTTATACCCAAGGCTCAGAGAACATCTTGGAAAAAGAGTGGGAAGATTTTCAAGGGAGAGAGGACCGGGATCCCTGCTGTTAGACAATGTTTTGTACTCATGAAATCTCAAAACCATGATTACCTAAACAGGATCTGCATAATGATACCAGTCAGCATGTCAGCTCGGAAAGGGGAAATTTCATAAAGTCACACCCCTAGATGAAAAACTACAGGCAATAAACAAACGGCTGCTCAGAAAGGGAGAATCAGTCTTCTACAGGGACCACCTCCCTTCAGATTATCCAATCCCAAGTCGCCAGCCCTAAACATATATACATAAGGAGCACCACTAAACGGGCTTGGTAGGTTGTGCATATGCATATATGTGTGTGTGTATACAAGTGTAACAATAATAATCATAGAAGTGAGATCAGAAACTTGATAGGGAGTGGGGAAACACAGAAAGAGCTGGAGGGGGAGAGAAGGGTGGAAATTGTGTAAAAACAGTATTTGTATGAAATTCTCAAAAATACACAAGGATGAAGGTTGGAATCGAGGTATCCCCTTCACTTATCAAGAGGCTTGTGTTCTTACCTTCGAAGTCTACATCTCCAACTAGTTTTGTCTTTCCTGTCGTAGGATCTTGAACATAGTTGATACCCACATCAATTACTGCTGCGCCTTCTCTAACCATATCAGCTGTAATCAGCCTGGGAATACCTGCGAATGGAACAGCAGTGAAACACTCAAATTCTGTCCTGTACTTTGTCCTGTAGTCTTAAAGTATCTAAGTACACACTTTGCAAGTAAGAGACTAACTTCACGCTGATTACTGGTCATCAGGTAGAAGGACAACAGACAATTAACATTGCAGTTGTTTTGTTTGTTTGTTTTTATGAGTCTCTACAGAGTGAGCTCTGAACATTGCATTAACATACACTTTATTATTATGTTCCATGTTGTGTGTGTTGACTGTGTCCAGTTGGACATATTTGCCCAGCCAGAGACAAATCTTATTGCCTTGTGACAACATGCATGCATAAATCCTGAGGTAGATGAAGTCTTAGCTTTCTGGTCATTTGTCTTAATACTCTTAGCAAGAAATATGGCAATACACACACACACACACACATACACACACACATACACACACACACACACACTCACTCATTCACCAAAACAAAACAAAAATCTCAGAAACACTGGAGAGAAAACCCATATTCTCAGAGCTCTACGGTTCTGCTTCACATTTACGAAAGTCTCATTACAAAATAGAATAAGACTCAGCATAAACATATTGTCTTACAGATTAAAAAAAAAGTGTGATGTTCTCCATCATTAAACACAGGGTAAATACTTGGGGGAGCTACTGTAAACAGAAAACACTGCAGGGAGGGGGCCTTACATTCAAGGATGTGAGGAAAAAATCCAATACTCAATTCGTTCTCAAATTCTCAAGGAGGAATTTCTTCTAAAGTTAAAGCACAACCTTAATTTATGTTGTTGTGGGCAATACTTTGTTAGCTAAAGTCTGCTATTCTTATCCAAAGTGTCCCCTGGGCTAAGTAAACTCTGTAGACATTGGGGTCCCTGGGTTCTCAGACAGCCTCCAACCCTGCTCCAGACAGAGGCCACAGCATCCTTCTCCTGTGACATCCCTGGTAGCACTCTGAGAACAGAAATGTTAAGTTAAATTATGCCTGTGGGTACAGATTATGATGATAAAATAATAGCTAACTGGACATTGATTTAAAATCAAACCTCTGCATCCAAAGAGTCCAACTGAGGACCACTAAGGGATGTCAGAGAACTCCTAAAATAATAATAAATAGGGGGAGGGACTACACCTACAAACATTCACATCAACCTTTTTAATCCTCTCTCCCTGGATCATGGTACCCACTTAACCCAAAGGCTGACAAAGAATGAACTGGTTGTTAAGTCATCTCTCCTTCTTGATCAGCATCCACATCGCAGGCTGTGGGTCTACTTGGATCTCAGAACCCTAAGCAGCTGTGTTAAGCCACTTCCTGACACTAACAAATGTAGACTTTGTGTTTTGCCCCTTGAAGCTATACATCTTGCAGTCTCAGATCTGCATTTTGTTATCTTTACAGTAAAAGAATTAAAAGAATTCCTGGCAATCTTCCTCAAATAACATCCAGTCAGATACTAGGCCCCGGGATTTACTAAAGGACCCTCACACATTCTACCAGCCAGTAGTGCAAAAAGACCAAAATTTCACTGTAATTCTTTTTCTATAGTGGTGATAAAGATTGGAAAGAACATAAATTTCAGAAAATATGAGTCAGACTCTTCCTGTCAAATTTCTAAGAGCTCAATTGTGGTTATGTTTTGATGTATGAACAGATGCATTTCTGAATCTGCAGCAAAAAGCAGTCCAAGTGCAATACACCAGGGACCAGATTTCATAATTAAAAAAAAAAAAACTTGCAGTTGAAACCTCTCACCTGAATATTTTGAGTTTTTGTAATTCTTTTACCAGTTGTCTACATTTCCAATAAAATAGTTAACTAGATTTCCATTGATCAAAATTCTGGGTCATTTAATCAAATATGAAACTGAGTTGCTATGTGCCTATGATCTTATCTAAAATTTCTATTTTAAATATATTTACACACAAAAGCTCATGGAAGGCTATGGAAACAAGCCACTGTTCTGTCCCAAAGGATAAAATACCTATCTATGAATATATTTCTGGAGAAGAAAATTTATTATTAAGGTAGAATTTAAAAATAACTTAGATAATCATATTAGAATTCAATAGTCTCATAATAAACAGCAGGGTTTCCTATTTATATGATATGTTTGCGAGAAGACCTCTGATATATGAGTATACCATCATTGGATGGTTATATAGAGTTACCCTAATTTGCATACTATCGCTATCTAATCAAGTGCTGTAGTTTGCTATTCTATTATTCTTTACGTGAAAAGTAAAACAATTCACCACTGTTGTTAAAGAAAAATGTGTTACACAATATAGGATGGCAATATTTAAAGCCGCAGGCACCATTCCGTGCTGCAGGTGCTCAGAGGTCCTTCACCACTGCTGTGTGAACGCCCCTTAGTGTAAAGCTGTAAGTGTGAACGCCCCTTAGTGTAAAGCTGTAAGTGTGAATGCCCCTTAGTGTAAAGCTGTAAGTGTGAATGCCCCTTAGTGTAAAGATGTAAGTGTGAACACCCCTTAGTGTAAAACAGAGCTTTACCACTGCTGTAAGTGTGAAGTTACATCTCCTTAAACACAGTCCTAACTAGGCATTTTCATATGCCAAGTGACAGGTTCAGAACCGTGATCACACACACACACACACACACACACAAAGTCTCTTCCCTGTAGTTCCTCCTATCTCAGTCATCTTTGAGTCTTTATGAAACAGCTCAGTCCGGGCATCCTGATAAAAGGAGGCACGGCACTTATGCATTGTTTTAATTGGTAGAGTTGAAAGGGCTGTGTAAACATTACCTAATTAAACTTCACAGCAAGTCAGTGAAGCAAGAGAGCTTTACCCATTATCCTCATTCACAGAAGCTAGATTTTGAGGTACTGGGAGGCTAAATGATTTCTTAGTTTCACAATGTTGAGTCAGAGGTGAGGCTGGGAACAAGACCAGAACTCAGATATAAAACTGGAGCCATGGAAATGCCTATTCAGGTGGATCACTCTATCAGCTGGAAGGTAGCCTCCTACTTAAATACTTAAAGTAAGCACAATGGAATTCGTATGAATGCATGTTTTCTTGTAGATCAGGAAACACTCTGAAGCCTTATTTGCTCTGGTGGCAGTCATATCAGGGACACATGGAACCTAGCTGTCTTAGTTATGTTTGTGTAGCTGAGACTACAATATCTGAGAGAGAAAAAATGGAAAATGAAGGAATGGTTTGTTACTCCTAATTTCAGAGGCTTCGCTCTGTCAGGGAAACCAAGAGAGAAAGTAGCTGCTACCAGGGTGGGCAGAAAGCACAGAAAAAGAAAGGAAGAGGCCAGTGACAAATTATCAGGAGGAACCTACTTCCTCCAGCTTGGCTCTGCCTCCTAAGGCTTTCAGATCCTCTCTGACTAGTGCTACCAGCGTGGGGCTTAGTGTTCAACACCGAGTTGTATAGAGTCATTCATGTGGAAATCATGGCACCATCGTTAAACAGAACCCCTTCTAAGAGTGAGAGTGTTTTCTCCCAAGCATCTTTCTATCATTTCTAGGAAGTCTCAAGGAGCGCTGGCCAACGAGGCGTTAGAAGACAGCCAGACAGCACGTCCTCTCCTTCCTGTCATTCTTTCTCTGTGCTCTTTGTCTTCTATCTGATACTTGCATGGTAACGACATGTCAGGATAATTTTGTTCACGATAAAGGCAACATCTGAGAAACCAGGAGAGTGGCAGGTTTGTGACCAAGCTAAGGATCTTGAGCTGTATTAGATTTCATCAACTTGGATACAGATATTTGGTGGGGTGCAGAAATTCCTAGGGTAACTATTAAGTAGTCCCATTAACTTCTGCCTGGACAGCTGAAGAGATGCAAGCTTCTCTTCTCTTCCTATAAGCAAATCTTCTTCTCTGTAAAAGGATCATGCTGCATCTGCAGATCTGGATAGGGACATAGTTTAGAGGCTGGTGAGCTAAATATCTAAAGTCTATATTGACAGATACAACGCTATCTCTACAAAAAGATATTGCTGCATTTGTGGATCTGGATATGAATATAGTTTGGAGGCTGGTGAGCTAATTATCTAAAATCTATATTGACAGATACCATGCTATATGTAGAACACACATCAAATGAGATAGGCACCAAACATTTCAAACTCTTCATTTTGTGCATGTGTGTTTGTGTTCATGAGTGTGCAAATATGCACAGTGTCATACACATAGAGGAGAAAGGGAAAGTTCAGGTGTCATTCTTCAGGCCCTGGCCAGCGTGCGTTTGTATGAGACATGGTTTCTCACTGGCTTGGAGTTGACCACGTAGGACCTGCCCATCTCCATCTTCAGAGTGTAGGACTACATGGCTCTAGAGGGGAGCCAGAACCTCATGGTCTAAGGCAAACGCTGCTGAGATGTTCCAGGCACTAAATTATTTTTATAACTGGTTTTGAGATTTACCTATTCTTATTTTCTCAGTATTGGTGTTTTGTCTGATTATAAGTTTGTGCACCACATGTTTGCACTGCCAGAAGTGGTTAGAAGGGAGCACCATAGCCCCTGAAACAGGCATTACAAATGGTTGTGAGCCACCATGTAGCTGCTGGTCCAGGGCAAGAGCAGCCGGTGTTCTTAACCATTGAGCCATCTCTCCAGGCCCTGAAATTTTTCTTTAAAAGGAAAATGCTTACTGGGTTAAGAGTGTAAACGATTACGGGAGCGAACTGTATGACCTAAAAGGAGAAGGTGGGGTTAGAATGGGACAACAACAATCTCAAAGTCCCCTAGATGCAACACAGTCCAATGTGAAAGCCAAGCATCTCTTAATAAAACATAGCTTGGCATATACTAGAGAACAATACATACAGTAAAGGTATGTATTCTTTGATTAAAATTGTCTTATATATGGATTAACACATGTATTACATGTTTCATTAGAGGCCTCATTATTTCTGTCCTACCTGATTCCCTCCAGCACACTCAGATTCCTGCCAAGGGACATGGCAGTACCTTTCATTCAAGAAGTTAAAGTCCTCTCTGAATCTGGGCCTGGCTTT